AGCTTGTTCATTTTTATATACTATCTATGACTCTTCACCCAGCTCCAACAAAGTAGGTATTAGAGGCAATGCATGGATTTCCAGCTGGGGATGGCATAGTCAGATTTGTGCCTTACCTTGTCATTCAAAAAGGATTCAGGGAGGGGCTGGAGCAGACTGACTGGTAGAAGGACAGTGGTTGGAAAGTTGTTATGATTGGATGAATTAGAGATAGATACTCAATAACACTGATGATTTTTATTAAAAAGTATATGAAAAGCCAGGCACTAGTGGCTCATGTCTATAATCCTAGCTACTGGAAGTCAGCCTAGGCAGGACTGTCCATGAGACTCTCATCTCCAACTAACCACCAAAAAGTTGGAAGTGAAGCTGTGGCTCAAGTGGTAGAGTGTCAGCCTTGATTGAAAAAGCTAAGAGACAGTGCTCAAGCCCTGAGTTCAAGTACTGGCACATACACATAAACACAAAGTATATTAAAAATTGCTATGTACCCAGACTGAGCTAAGCCTCTATATGTATTTCTTCATTCAGTCTGCACAGGAAATGCTCAATGTAGCTAGAGCTGTTATCCCTGATTTGCAGAAGCAGCCCAGAGAGGTTAGGTAGCTTGCCCAATGGCATACAGCTAGCATTTAGTTGAACCAGAATGTAAACCCAATGGTCCACACCCAAGTTGAGGCCATCTATGCCAAGCTGAAGGTCTTCAGGGTCAAGCATGTTTGTTACTAGATCCCTTGGAGAAGACATAGAACTCGAGTCCTCAGAAGGAGAAAATCCAGCCTGGGTCGAGCCAGGCAGGAAGTGGGAGGCAGGAGTGTGGCTATTTTAGAAAAGCGACATGAAAAACCACGAAACTTCCTACCTGTCCTGTTTTGCTCCCATCTGTTCTCAGGAACAAGGCTGCCCCTCTGATAAAAAGGCGTTTCTCCCCACACAGCGGCTCTTCCACTGGTGCTGGGGAGCGGGCACTAAGCTTAGCACATGTTAGCTATTTTTAAGGAACTATATAAACAAACAGGGCTATGTAAATAAGAAAAAAAATGAGGTCATCCCTTCACAATCTAAAAATGTCCCTTTTCTATGGAGTGAGCAGAAAACCTAAGAAAGGATCAGGGCTTTTTTATTCCCCTGAGTCCCTCCCTCTCAATCCCACAGTATTCCAAGTCACCAGGCCTGGTCCTTCCTTCCTCACACGGGTGGACGGAGGAACAGGTAGCCTGGGAGCTGGAACACCTGGTTTCACGCCTAGCTCTGTAGGCTTTGCCTAGAATACCTAAAGCCACCTCCTTAGGCCCTGACACCTGGTTGGATCCAGGTCACTCTGGATCCAGCTGCCCATGTTCATGGCTCTCCAGTATGAGCCATGGCCTGGTCTACCAACCAGCCTGTCCCCTTGACTGTCCTGCTCTCTCTGCTTGCCCTATACTTTGATCTATTAGAAGAAATGTAGGAACACTTATTAGGAGAGACTTCTATGCCTCCTCTTCCTATTTTTATGCATATGAGGATAATCAAACAAGGCTTGCTGGGTCCTGCTGTTTGACTTGGGTTTGTACTAAGAAGAATTTTGAACCTTTGTTGGATACTGTCAGAGATACAAACCAGAACTCCCTTCCATCTTTCCCCAGTAAACAGTCATACAGAGCTGAAGACCACTTTGTGGCTGACAGATTCACCTTTGAAAATCTGTAATCATCACATCACTGTATGGAGGTGATTCAGAATCCTTTAATACTGAGAAGCCAGGCCAACAAAGACAAACAAGAGAAAGGACCATTAGAGGTTTCAGCCCATATAGCAACAAAAGGATCATCTAGGATGGAGGTCAGTAAAAGGCCAAATAGCAAATAATTCTAGCTTTGAGGGAAGATGGTCTCAAGCAGCCAGAGATAAGTATAAGCAAATAGCACTGCTACGTTCCAATAAAATTTTGCGTATGAAAACCAAGTGGCAGTCTGGATTAGGCCTACAAGCTATCATTTGTAGATTCCTGATCTAGAACTTCAGGTGTTGATTTTTTTTTTCTACAGCAAAGCAGATTATTACTCTATGAACTTTCATAATAAACAAATATTTAAAGTTAAAAATCAATGAGCATTAGTGAGCTACCACTTCAACCTGCTTATAGGCATTACACTCAAGCTTTGATATTTAAAAATGTCTTCTAAGACAATAAATATTCACTGCTGAGAAAATGCTTCTTTCTCCGTTTTCAGATGAGCTTTGTGGTAACCATTCATTCAACAATCATGTAATTCTGGAGAAAGCTCTAGTACAAGCCTCTCCTGAAGGAGAGCTGTGACTTCCTGGTTCCCTGCCCTCAAATGACTCAAGCTGGGAAGAGAGGCTTCCCGAAATCTCAGCTGTGCTAATGGACTCCACTATCTCTGGCATGGGAGGGGGGAGGGAGGAAGTCTACCAGATCACACACATGCTGTCTTAATCCGAAACGCTGCACCTCCTGGATGCCACACTCTCCAGCAGCCTACCTGGTGGGCCAGACATTCTCAAGATCACCTGAACCACTTACCAGCCCTGAGTCAGCACCCCATTAATCACACTACTCTCTACCCCCGGGGAGAACAAGGAAAAGGCCAGGGCCAAGTTTCTGGTTGGAACTGACAACTCATTTCCTGCAGGGCCAGTCTCTTCTTCCATAGATTATCCTTGCAGCTGGCAGCACCCGCGTGATCAAAGGAGAGTTTGAGTATGCAGTAGGAGAGGGAAAATGCTAGCCAGGCCCATGGGAGGGAATCCCTGAGGCAGTGCTCTCCCCTTTCCAGCTCTGCCTGCGTCCCACAGGGGGTTGTGTTCCTATTAGTTCAAGAACTTATTGTAGACCTTGTAGAATAAATCCAGTTCCTGTCTATGACTACTAGTGGACAAGAACCATACACGGTTAACTGCAGGATTCACAGAAGGGAACACATGCTAAGTCAAGGTACCTGGGGGTGGAGGTACTCTAGGATGACAAGAAGGGACTCCATTCATTAGAGCACCACTGATTCCTATTAAAATGCAGCTCTTCCTAGGGAAGGGTCATCCTGGAAGCCATAACTGCCTTTCTTCAGGTAGAAAAAGGAAAAGAAAGTGCTAGGTCTGCTATAGCCAGAGGTTCTGCCCCTTACTAGCTGTGACTGTCTTTGTATTACTCCGTGCCCAATTTCTTATATGTACAAATAAGTCCATAGGATCAGCCTTACTAGAGTTTTTGCAGGGCTCAGTGTGTGCCAGGCCCTGTGTCCTGCAAGGGCTGATCCCTTGACTCTAGAATCCTGCATTGGGATCAGGTGGTTGAGTTTAGCAGTTGGTGTGGCCAAGCTGCCTGCATGGTGGCAGAGAATGGGGGGAAGGCTACTCACAGGTAGGGAGTCCTTGTCATGGGTGGCCAGATTAACAAGGACTCTTTGAGGCAGACATCATCCTATGCTCACTTTGAAGGTAAAAGTAATACTTCTTGCCTGTGAAACCAGTAATTGCTATAAAAAAAAAAAAACCCCAGAGACTACCAGAGGTGGGCCCTAAACTCAGGAAGAATTATGCTCCTCAGGGTCACTGCAAATGTCCCTCAAAATGGGTCTCAGTGCCCATATTTTCTTAGGCACTTGGAAATTTTTTCCATCTTGCATAAGAACCCTGGTGAGGCCAAGTCTGTGGGCCTGGGTGTGCCATCCAGCTGTGGGCATATGGTGACACTGCCTCTGTGAGATGGCCTGCAACCCTGGCCCCCTCTGCACAAGGCAAAAATATCTTCTGCTCATAGCAGACCCCTTGAACATCATGGCTGAGTCCCCTGGCCCCCAAAACAAGATATTGAGCCCCAGAAGAGGCCCTGAGGTTCTGAACCTTGATTGTGTCAGAACCCAAATATAACAAATGCTTGTAATCCTAGCACTTGGGCAGAAGGATTGTGAGTTCTCAGCCAGACTAGGCTACTAGTGAGCTCATGACCAGCTTGAGCTATCGAGTGAAGTCCTATTTCAAAAGAGAAGAAAAATAACACAAATGCAGATTTCTGTCCCCAGAGAAAGGATACAGGATCAGTCCCTTGGCTTAGTCACAGAGTGTCTGATCCAGAGGGTCTGAGTGTGCCCAAGAATCCTCCTCCTTTGCTTCCTCGACCACATCACCTCTTCCTCCTCCTTATACTCTTCCTCCTTCTTTTCAGCCAAGCACAACCTCTCTCCACCCTGCCAGCTGCGCCAGGTGATCTCAGCACATTCTGTACCAGACAAAACACTCAGGGACTTGATCTTGATCTTGATCCAAATTACTACCAACACCGTGCATCTAACTCTAGCCACAGTCTGAACATCTAGCTTGAGCCCCTAAGATGTATCCAAGGAGCCACAAACAGGTGCACATGCATGCGCGTGCACATGTGTACACACACACACACACACACACACACACATACACACACACACACACACACACACACACACACATATATTGGGTTGGAACCCTCCCAGGCCAATCTAAATCTGCATCACTGGAACTAGGGTCCAATTTCAAGCCTCCAATCCTAATTTTGAGAACTCCTGCCAAAACCTGACATCTTTCCAATTCTACCCACAGGGGTCCTGAAGACTACTGTTGCCCCTGAAAGCCACCAGAAAGCTTAGCTGCACAGTAGGTGGGTGGGCAAGCATGTGAGGAGGGGGTCCTGGAAAGCAGGGATGCCCTCTGGATAGGCAATGAGGATGCCATGTTAGGGTTCCTTGAGAGCTATCACTGGGTTCTTTGCCAGGGACAGGTTGGAAACTAAGTAACAGCAACACATTTTAGGGAGATAGCACAGGGAGCAGTGGCAGATCGCTGACACCCAAAAATCACCCCAACCAAAGCATGGCAAGAACTTCCAGAACTGGCCTCATCGAGGCTAAGGAAGGCCATAACCATCATGATAGCAATGATACATTTTAAGAGAATGAAATGGCAAGCTCATGCGTGGTCAAAATAGTATCCAGCAAGCCTGCCCAGCAACAGCTATGTCCTACCTGTGCTGAAGGCACCACTTCCGATGACCGAAACTGAAGCGCAGATCTTTCTGAAAGCCAGAGTTCATGTCCACGCCTGCCACCACTGTCTCTATGCACTGCTCTTCCCTCTGGAGGGCAGAGCTGGCCCAGCCTGAGGCTCTTGCAGCTTCTCCATGAGCTACTGTGAGGTGGCTGAGTTTGTGCCTCCAATCCTGCATGGGGAAGGCCATGGGTAGAAAACCATAGTTAGAGTCTTCTTGGTCAGTTTTGGGCATAGAGCAATTTCTGTCTGATCTCAGGAGATCAACCCCTCCCAACATGCTTTTCTTGGTGAGGACCCAGCCCCCATCTCCCTGTGGGAGACAGTGGGGTGGGGTAGTCCTGGAACCCATCATACACTCCCTTGCACCCAACACTGAGTTTGTCTGAGTTTCTCATTCTTCCCCAGTATGGCAGGCAGAGTTCAAGACAGCCCAGAAGTTGACCTGTTCAGAATAACGGTCTTACATGGTCCCAGCAACAGGGTAGCTTATTAGGCTTTGCCATATGACATAAGTAACCTTCAAATAGGCAGAGTATTCAGGACTGAGCAAATCAGGAAAACCATTCATTCACTCACTCACTCACTCATTCATTGTGTTAAGTCTTGTGTCAGAACTCAGGGCTTAAGCATCATCTCTGAGTTTTTTAGCTCAAGGTCAGCACTCTACTACTGGAGCCACAGCTCCATGTCCAGCTTTTTGGTGGTTAACTGGAAAAAAGAGTCTCATGGACTTTCCTGCCTGGGCTAGCTTCCAGTTGTGATCCTCAGATCCCAGCCTCCTGAATAGTTGGGATTATGGGTATGAGCCACCAGTTCCCCATTTTTATTTTTATGTTTATGTTTTACATATAAAATATACTTTATATAATATTGTTATATTTTAATTTTTGGTGCCCAATTATTTTCCTATATATATTTTTTGGTCGGTCATGGGGCTTGAACTCTGGGCTTGGGCTCTGTCCATGTGCTCTTCAGCTCAAGATGAGTGCTCTACTGCTTGAGCCACAGCACCACTTCCGGTTTTCTAGTGGTTTACTGGAGATAAGAGTCTCACAGAGTTTCTTGCCTGGGCTGGTTTGAACCATGATCCTCAGATCTCAGCCTCCTGAGTAGCTAGGATTACAGGCATGAGCCTGCCCAGCTTCATATTTATATTTTTATCTTTCAGTACTGTGGTTTAAACTCAGTACATCATACTCTCACTTGGCTTTTTCTGCTCAGAGCTGGCATTCTACCACTTAAGACACAGCTCCACTTCTGATTAATTGTAGATATGACTCTCACAAACTTTTCTGCCCTAGCTGGCTTCAAGTTGCAATCCTCAGATCTTACTCTCCTGAGTAGCTAGGATTACAGGTGTGAGTCACCAGCACACAGCTAGGAAAATCTTTTATAAATGGAGTTTTCTCTGCTAGGTACAGAGAAGTCACAGACTGGAATCTTTAGGATTCCTTGGGCTGAAAGGCAGACAGACCACATGGGAAGGCCCTAGAAGCAGCCACTGGGAGCTAGGAATGATTGAGTGGCTGAATACCAGAAGGGAAGAGAACCCACAGTCTTAACACCAGCAGCAAACTGGGTTACATTGACAGGAATGAGCGAGAAACTTCAGAATGCTCCTCAGAGCCTCCAGCCCTCAGTTACCAATGCCCCCTGTCTGCCTGAGCAGAGCTCAGACCCTCTACAGACTTTGGACCCATATGGCACTGAGCTAATAGTTAGGTATGGGACTTAGTCACCAAAGTGGAGGGCATTTGCTAAACAGAAAACCCATACAGTCTGTAAAAGTGACTGGTATCTGGGCACAGGCAAGGATTACCTACAATAATAGACATAGGAACACACTGTCTTCCTGAAACCACTAAACAAAACAGAGTGTTCAGGCCAAGGGAAAGCTGGATCAGGGCAGGTACTCAGCAGTGCTTAACTGGGTGAACAAACGAATGTGAGTGCATCAGTTTTGGTTTTGCGGTACTGAGGTTTGTACCCTGGCTTGCTAGGCTGGAGCTGTACCACTTGTACAATACCTACAGCCCTGATTTTTGCTGGTTACTTCTAGGACAGGGTCTTGCTTTCTGCACTGGGGCTGCAATCCATCTATATTAGGCTTCCCATTTTAGCTGGGATCACTGGCATGCACTACCACATCCAGCTTCCCCCTGTGGAGATGGAATCTCATGGACTTTTCTGCCCAGGCTGGCCTGGCACCAGAATCCTCCCAATCTCAGCCTCCTGTGTACCTTAGGATGACAAGCACACTCATAGCACCAAGCCTTGGGTTGTGAAGGGATCTCACAAAGGTCTCTGCCCAGGCTGGCCTCAAATTATAGTCCTCCGTTTCTCAGCTTCCTAAATATTCAGGATTCTAGGCATGAGCTATTGGTACCAGATTGCCAATTGGTACCAATTTTTAGTAACCCATTTAGCAAGCTGTTGTAAGAATCAAGTAAGACAATCCAGAGAAAAGTGCTTCTTAAAGCAGAAAGCCCAAGTTTTAGCTGTGTATAACTTGGCCTGTGCAGCCAAATGGTTGTCTTTAGAGTCTTTGTGGCTTGTCTGTTCCAGGTAGGATGGTGTTGTAATGGCTGAGAAGGTGGTTTCTAGAGCCAAGACACTTTGCTTCAAATCCAGTCCTTTTCCTTATCATCTCTACAGCTTTGGAAAGTTGCTGTGTGAGCCTGAAAACAGAACTAAAAATGGCGAACACTTCCCAAAGTTTTCATGAGTCAGTGCATACAAGACCTGGAACAATGTCTGGCACGGTCAAATACACATAGTTACTATGGACTTTGTCAGAGTGGAGCTCAATGGTGAGAGTCTGGAGTAACCTGGGCCCAGGCCTGGGGTATTGTCCCTTGCTCCTCCTAGGCACTGGGCTTTAGATTAATCCTGCTTTAGAATAGCTAGTACTTGACAAGCCTATGGTACTGTTGATTGCTGCAACAGAGCATGCAGGTCACCCAAGGTCCTCCACTGTCTCCTCCAGCCATAGCTGCCACTGTTAAACCCAGCTATCCCTGTCCTGTGCACACCTAGAATCATATCATACCACCACCTCATGGTGCCGAGGTTGGACTTGATGTGTGGTTCCCTTCTATCACTTCCTGATTCCATAATCTGACTATCCAAACTATTCTTAGCTCATTTCCCATCACTCCCAAGTCAGACCTTACACCCTCCAATAGACTGTCATTAGTAAGAAAAAAATTAGATGGTCTATTCCTTCTGCTGATTTCCACATAGTTCCTTCTGCTTAGAATGTACTCCCCTCCCCCATAGCTAAGTCCACCTGGCCTGATCCTACCCATCTTCCCTCCATCCCATGGCTCAGCCAGCTCCCACAAAACTGGACATGAGTTCTTCCTCCCAGGATGCTCACAGCATCGTTGCAATGCTTCTCTTGAGACCAATGATATTGCCCAATGCATGAAGTCCAAATTGTTCAAATCCCCTGGAGGTGCCTTGCACAGAACCAAGGGCAACAATTCTCACTAGAACCTTCTTTAGTTGTTCATTCATTGAACTGATGTGCATCTCTGGTGGTGGGTGGTGAGTTCTGAATAAACTTTCAAGGGTAACACAGTAGACTTGCAGTTCTGATGGGATATGAATGTGAGAAAGACAGGCTATTGCAAACAGAGGGTCTCCAAATGGCTAGAATGTTTAAGAAGTCACAGGCTATCCCAGTGACTGGGGAAAGGTAGCAATGACCCTGGAGGGAGAAATCAGTGGCAGAACATGAAAGTTGTAACGGAAGAAGCTGGACCTGCATTGGAAGAGGAGTGAGGTCATGGAATGGTTTTGATCTGTGAGGTAATGCCCTGCAGATGAGGGGTGTGGCATGAGGAGGAGATGCATGGGCAGAAGCAGGAGAGACTTCACAGGGAGCCACAGGAGTAAGACCAGCACGACCCATCCATCACCTACCACCCTTGTCTCCACTTCAGTGCAGGTCAGAGGACTGCCCCAGCCACACCTGTATCCTGGTCATCTGAAAATATCACACACACTTCTGAGGTTCTAGCTGGCAAGTAGCACTGGCAAGTAGCACTTCTCTACCACTTCTCTAAATGCCATGGGAATAATAATAGTAATAGAAATATACAAATAAGAACAGAGCCTCACTGGCTGGCCAGAAAGTATGAGGCAACAGGAGTAGAGGGAAAATCTAATTGGAGCTACACTGGCCTCTCTTAGCCCATGCAAGGAAGTCTATCTGCCAATCTCCAGAAGGCCACTGAGGCAGGTACTGAAATCCAAGGATAAAAGAATCTTCCAGCTGGACACTGATGGCTCATGCCTTCAATCCTAGCTACTCACAAGGCTGAGATCTGTGGTTTGAAGCCAGCCTGGGCAAGTAAGTCTACGAGATTTTCATCTCTAACTAATCACCAGAAAGTACATATTTGGCTCAAGTGGCAGAGTGGTAATCTTGAGGGGAAAACACCAAGGGACAGTGTCCCATCCCTGAGTTCAAGTCCTAGTACTAGTACACACACACACACACACACACACACACACACACACTACTGTAAGTCTCCAAAAAGACTTAAGTAGAGAGGAAGGAACTGAGACCACCTTTTCTCTTTCACCTTCCAGTCCCACGATTTTGCTGATCTAGGAGCCTTTGCTGATCCAGGATGGCTTGACTGTGCATTACAGATACTTCCTGAGTATCTCTCTATTCTTCATCAACATCCTGGGCCCTAAGATCTTTTGGCATACCCCCTCCCCTTCCCCAGCCCACTGTCTTACCTTGCCTTAAAATTTAACTCATTGCTTCCAACTATCCTGATGGCTGTAATGTGCTTCACAGGTCCTGAGCTAGCTCCCACACTGGGAAGTTTCCCACCTAAGGGACACTTCCAATCCTGGGCAAAGCCCTTGCCTCCTCCTCCTAGACATACCAGGCATTACAGAGGTGCTCTTCTCTTTTCCTGTGTAATTGACAGCCACTATTTGATCTAACCAACATGTTGTCTTGATAAGAGGGGAGCTGACATTTGAGAGTCCCTACAGAAATGTTGAGAAACAGGCTGACATTGGACTTGATGCCCACATCATTGACTACTATCGGGTGGCAAGGCAAGATCTCAGTTGGTGCTTTAGGGAAAAGTTCGAAATCCTGAGATCCATTGGCTAGCCAAGACTCAAATCAAAAGAGAGAAG